GCTTCAGTGACTCTCCTTTATCCCTTCTCTTGCAGCCAGTGTGGCTGTCTGTGGACTTTGATAACTGGAGGGACTGGGAAGGGGATGAAGAGGTGGAGCTGGCTCAGGTAGAACATTATGCAGAGGTAAGAGTGAGACCTTTTCCTGCCCATCTTGATAATTTTCTGTGTCTCTCTGCACACATTTCTCCGAAGGATTATCATCAAGGCTAAGCAGAGATGTCCGAGATAAACAAGCTCTCCAGACAGTCTACATTTTTTTTTTAGAGGTTTTTGCTATAGGGCGCATGCACTCGCCAGACAGACAGAAAGAGACAGAGAGATAGAAAGCGAGAAATCACCCCCCAGGGGGTATGGCCATGCCGCAATCCCTTCTCCTCCACTCTCCTCTTGGTATCTTGGGCATGCACGCACACGCGCCCAGCGTGAGTTTTAAGCCACTGGGCCTGGGATGTGAACTGCAGTCGGCTACATGGGAGTCCAGCGACATAGCCGTTACGCTAACTGCTGGTCCCCAGACAGTCTACATATTGGTGTTGATATCTACCATCTATCTTTATAACTTCCAGAGGGTACCTGTGCTCACGAGAGGAATAATGGAGAGGGATAAAGCATTCCCTCAATGGGGCATGGTCAGACCACAATTCTATCTCCTCCAGTTCTCCATCCTATCAAGATTTTGATTTTGGACACATAAGAACATATGCCTGGGATTGGTAGGTGGCATGATGGTTAAGGGCGCTGGACTCCCATGTGGCTGACTGCAGTTTGAGTCCTGGATCTGGCAGCTTGTTTTCTCACTTTCCCTCTCCCTCTCTCTCTCTTTCTCTCTCTGTTCTTCTCTGGTCAAATTAAAATAAATAAAGATAAATTTAAAGAATTATTTTTTCTTTTTTCTTTATTTATTTACAGTCATGCATTGTACATCAGTACAGGGTACGAAATGAGATTTTCCATCCAGTATACATCGTATATTGGCTCAATCAAGGATAGTACCATACATGTTATCATCAACAAATGATTTTCTATTTCTTATTTCTTATGTATTTTGCTTTATTTCCCCACCCTTGATTCCATACCTCTCACCCTCTGCCAACTACCCCCCTTCTCCCACATTGTCTCTGGTAAGTATAGTTGTTTTCCATGCTTTTTTCCCCCCCATTTTACTGATTCACTAAAGATCTTAATTAAAGACTTTCAATAGCAAGCATAGGTGATATATACATATTTATGAACGCACGTCTGACTTTAGGTGTAAACCTCAGTGAGTAAAGTGAACATACTATAAAGTAGCACTTTGCTTGGGCTATATAGCTTACTGCAGTCATTAAATAATGCGTGCCCAAGATTCTGAGAGGAGAATGGAGGAGAAGGGATTACGGTGTGGCCATCCCCCCTGGGGAATGATTTCTCACTTTCTGTCTCTCTGTCTCTCTCTGTCTCTCTGGTAGCAAAAACCTCTCCAAAAAAAAAAAAGAAAGAAAGAAAATCAAAACATCGAAGAAAATCAGTAATGTTTTAGTCTAAAGTAAAAATATTCTATTTCACTAATTCAGACTCACATAATTAATCTCTCTTCTATTGAATTTGCAGTGTTTCTGTAGTCTAATACTTCCATTTAAACTCTGGAAGTTGATACTCAGCTTTGGACTTGTCCCTACCATTAGGCTTGCCATTTTCTTGGTTGTTTCTTTCTTTTTTTTTTTTTTCTTGGTTGTTTCTTGTATGCTTATTTCTGTGTGTCCAACTTTAGTTTTCCTGCTATAGTACTCCCTTCAGCACTTCTTGAAGAGCTGGTCTGGTCTTGGTAAATTCTTTCAGATCTTGTTTATCTGAGAATGTTTTTGTCTTTTTTCTCCATATGAAAGGTAATCTTGCTGCGTATAGTATTCTTGGTTGAAATTGTCTTTCATTTAACACTTTGAATATATTTTCCCATTGTTTCCTTGCTTGCATTGTTTCTGATGAGAGGTCCAACGTTAACCTTATGGGAAATCCTTTGAAAATAAATTGATGTTTCTCTCTTGCCAATTTTAGTTTCTTGTCTCTGTCTGTGGTTTTTGTCAATCTGGCTATGACATGCCTCGGGGAAGATCTTGTGTCGATTCTATGTGGGGTCCTTTGTATTTCTTCGGTCTGGATATTCGAGTGCCTCTCTAGGTTTGGAAAGGTTTCTTCCAGGATTTCATGGAGTAGATTATCAATATCCTTATTAATTTCTTCACCTTCTGGGATACCAATGATCTGAATGTTTGGGTGTTTAATGCTATCTAGTATTACTTGTATGTTATTCTCATTTTGGGGGGTTATTTTCTCAATCTTTTAGTGAATTTTTCTACATCTGATGTGCTATCTTCTACATCTGAGATTCAATCTTCATGATCTAATCTGCTTTTGATACTTTCTTTTTCTTTTTTTAAAGAATTATTTATTTAATTTTATTTATTCATTCATTTATTTTTAATTCGACAGAGAGATACACACAGAGAGAGAGAGAGAGAAGGAAAGTGAGAAAGTAAGCCACCAGGTCTGGGACTTGAACTGTGGTCAGCCATGTGGGAGTGTCCAGCGCCTTAACCACCACATTACCTGCTGGTCCTCACTTTTGATATTTTCAAAGGAATTTATGATTTCCTGTATTACAGCCTTCATCTCTAACAATTCTGTTTGATTCTTTTTTATGATGTGTATGTCCTCTTTCAGATCGTGCAAGAACTTCCTTACCTCCTGGAACTTGGGGTCTCTTTTTTTGTTTCTCTCTCTCTCTCTTTTTTTTTTTTTTTTTGGAGAACTTTTTGCTATAGGGCACGTGCATGCTCCAGAAAGACAGAGAGAGAGACAGAGAGATAGAAAGTGAGAAATCACCCCCACTAGGGGGGATAGCCACACCACAATCCCTTCTCCTCTTGGGCATGCATGCACACATGCCTGATGTGAGTTTAAGCCACTGGGTCTGGGACTCAAACCGTGGTCGACTACCAGCGACATAGCCATTACGCCAATTGCTGGTCCCAATTCTCTCTCTCTCTCTCTCTTTCTTTTGGGGGAAGGGGGAGGTTTATGCTATAGGGCGCGTGTGCTTGCCAGAAAGACAGAGACAGAAAGCAAGAAATCACCCTCCAGAGAATGGCCACCCTGCAATCCCTTCTCCTCAGTTCTCCTCTTGGGATCTTGGGCATGCACACACACATGTCCAGCGTGAGTTTAAGCCACTGGGTCTGGGACTCAAACCGTGGTCGACTACCAGCGACATAGCCATTATGCCAACTGCTGGTCCCCCAATTCTCTTGTATCTCTATTTGCTTTGTCACTGAATATTTAAAATTCTTTATTGGATGTTTCCATGAGTTCTCTTGTATTATTTGTGGAGAAGAGGATATATTCTTTTACCGAGAGATATTTTCTTAGTTTCTCCTATTTCTTATGCCTCTGTGGTGGTTTCTGGCCATATGATGGATTATATATTTTTTCCTACTTTTTTAGAATTAAATCTGAGGGACCAGCAGTTGGAGTAATAGCTATGTCGCTGGACTCCCATGTAGTCGACCGCGGTTTGAGTCCCGGACCCAGCAGCTTAAACTCATGCCAGGTGCATGTGCGTGCGTGCCCAAGATCCCCAGGAGAATTGAGTAGAAGAGATTGCGTCGTGACCATCCCCCCTGGGGGGTGATTTCTCACTTTCTATCTCTGTCTCTCTCTGTCTTTCTGGTGAGCGCACACGCCCTATAGTGAAAACCTCTCTAAAAAACAAACAAAACAATTAAGTCTGAACAATCAGAGGAATTCAGAAGGAAGTGACCTTCATACTGACTCCTGGCTAGACTGGGGAACAGGAGGGTGAAGTGTGAAGTCTGGGAAGAGGGTCTTTGGTGGTTAAAATCCCCAAAAAAATTATTTAGAAAAACAAACGCCCAGTGTTTCTTTGAGCTGCTGCAGCTGGGGTTTGAACTGCTGGCCCCATCCTTTCTACTGTATGTGTGTTTTCCAAGCCAGACATTTTTATAGGAAGCTGAAACTAAGCGTATAAAAATTCACATTGGGTGCTGGCAGGTGGCGTGGTGGTTAAGGGCGCTGGACTCCCACATGGCCAACTGTGGTTCAAGTCCTGGACCTGGTGACTTGTTTTCTTACTTTGCTTCTCTCCCTCTCTCTCTCTCTGATCAAACTGGAAAAAAAATAATAATAAATAAAGTTAAGTAAAAGAATTCTTTTAAAAAACTCACATCATAAAATAAATCATTGGGGTCAACAATGGTATAGTGTGGTTAAGGCAGCTGGGTCTCACTACCATGGCTGACTACTCAGTTCAAGTCCCAGACATGGCAGCTTGAAAACCACACAGGGGCATGTGCGTGCATGCCCAAAATTCTGAGAGAAGGATGGAGGAGAAGGGATTATGGTGTGACTATTCCCCTTGCGGGAATGCTTCTCACTTTCCTTTTTTCTCTCTGTTTCTCTCTGGTGAGTCTATGAACCCTATAGCAAATTAAACCAAAAAGAATAAAATAAATCACTGGTTCCCAGTAAATTGTATCCTGTCATGTTACTTGGCTTCAGAGTTTACCTAGTATTTATTCAAGTTACAAAAACACTAGCAGACCCCAGTCTGGACTGGTAAGGAGGGTGCTCTGTGTGTGTGTCTAAATTTCCATTTAACAAAGGGGTCCATTTACTTTTATCTAATTCCAGTGACGTATGAGGGGGCTTTAAAGATGGGGCTTTAATAGGCCCCTGGCTGGGCCTGTTCTCCGGTGGCTTAGTATGCAGATTGCTCTTCCGTCACCCCGTCTTCCTCACATGATTTATTTTCTTTTCCCACTAGCTTTTGAAGAAAGTCAGCACCAAGAGACCTCCCCCTGCCATGGATGACCTAGATGTAAGTAAAGCCTACTCCTTGATCTTTCAGTTTCTTTTAGCCCTTAACATATCTTTCCCCACAAGCCCACCCACCCCCATTTCTGGTTTCACTTTCCACTGTTTCAGTTACCTGCACTCAACCATGGTCCAAAAACATTAAATGGAAAATTTCAGAAATAAACAACTGTGATCGCCAGGCAGATCTGACTTCTATTGAACTGCATCTTACCATTGCACCACTGAGCAGGCCCCCATGTTAATCATATTTGAATTTAAAATAAGAGGTTGAGTTTCTGGGTTTCTGGGTTTTAGAAAACCCTGCAAGATCTTCCTGTCTTTCATCATCAGTTCTATTTTCCATTCTCAAGTATACCTGACCCTGTTGAGAATCTATAGCTGTAAGGAACCGTAGCATTCATTGAAATTACAAAACTAAATGATGTAAGTTGGTCCTATGGCCTAGTGGTTAATGGAGCCAGATTCCATGTGGCCAACCATGATTTGAATCTTGGTCCCAATGGCTTGAGAAACATGGAGGGTGAGTGTGCACCAAATCCTGGCAGAATGGAGAAATGGAGTGAAAGGAATTGTAGCATGACCACACCTCATCGGGAGGTGTTTTCTCCCTCTTCCTCTCCTTCTCTGTTTCTCCAGCAATGGCATGTGCCTTCTGGCAATTAAAAAATGAAGTGAAATGATGCTTGATAGATGCCTAATCAGTGAGTATCAGTGGCTTATTTTATTATCCAAAGTTAAAATTCTTCCCCTTCAAGAAGTTGTGTGGTTTAGAAAAATCACAAAAAGAGACTTGAAGAGCAGGAGGGAGTGAGCAGATTTTGTGAATATAAGTGTTCATTTTTTGCAAAGTCTACAAGTGTTTTTTCTTTTCTTTTTTTTTTTTTCCTACCTAGGATGATTCTGACAGCGCTGATACCACAAGTAATTAACTTTGTGTGACAGAGCTGGGCTGTGGCTGTATTCCAGTTTTCTGAAGAGTTAAAGCCTGGACCTTTGTCAGCTCTTTGACTGTGTACCAAGGCCCTCTAGGATTTCTGGATCATCTTAGGAGTTCTTTCCTAAGGATCTTCCGCATGCTTTATGTCTTCTTCCTAGGCACTTGACTGGGGTACTGCCTCAGGTGGCAAGACCAGGAGTGGACTGGAGGCTTCTGACTTCCTGCTGCTTGGTTTATAATCTCTCTGTTTGGGCCCCTTGATTGTTGTGTATGTGTGTGAATTTGGCAGAGCAAAAGCCAAAGATCAAACATAAATTATAATAAATATCTAGGAACTGTTTTCTGGGTCTTTCCTTCTTGTCGTTCTTTCTTCTGGTGGCAAGTCTCTTCTCCCTCTAGAATTCCTTTCAAAGAGGGAGAAGAATGTCAAAGATCCTAGCCCTTGCCTTCTTTCAATTTTTTTTTTTAGAGAGAAAGATTTTTTGCTGTAGGGCATGTGTGCTCATTGGAGAGAAAGAGACAGAAAGTGAGAAATCAACCCCCAGCAGGGATGGCCACATCAGCAATCCCTTCTCCTCCGGTCTTCTCTAGGGATTTTGGGCACGCATGCACACATGCGTAGCATGAGTTTCAAGCCGCCAGGTCTGGCCATGTGGGAGCCCAGCAATGTAATTGCTATGTCATCTCCTGGTTCTCCGAGCCCTTGTCTTTGAGGTTGGAAGAAGAATGATATCAGGGACAGGCTTGTAACCAAACTAGGGGACATCCATTTGCCTAGATCTCTTCAGATCTGTGCTCTTAATTTCTCATGTCTAATACTAATACCTAGAACCACCCACTTCAGTTTCTTGCACACTCAAGAAATCTTGTTAGGTGTTTTTTTTTTTTTTTTTTAAACCTCGCCTGACAGTGTGTTTACTGGGGAGAGAGAAACAGTAAAAGAGAAGCCACTCTCATGGGGAATGGTCACACCGCAATCCCTTCTCCATTTCTCCCTCATTTGGGGAATTTTTGACATGCATGCACATGTGCCTGGCATATTTTTCAAGCTGCTGGTTCTAGGACTTAAACCTTGTAGTCGGCCCTGTGGCCGTAACTACCACACCACTGGCTGGGCCTTTTTTACACTTTTTTTTTTTTTTTTAGAGATTTTTGCTATAGGGGATTTTTTTTTTTTGAGAGATTTTTGCTATAGGGTATGTACACTTGCCAGAGAGACAGAAACAAGAAAGTGAGAAATCATCCTCCAGGGGGGATGGCCATGCCTCAGTACCTTCTCCATTCTCCTCTGGGGATTTTGGACACACACATACATGTGGCCGATATGTTTCAAGCTGCCAAGTCTGGGACTCGGATGGTGGTCAAACACGTGGGAGTCCAGCGCCTTAACCACTATGCCAGTTTCTGGGCTCTCTTACGCTTTTTTTTCCCCAAAGAATTATTTTATTTAACCTTATTTATTTATTTTAATTTGACTAGAGAGGGAGAGAGAGAGAGAGAGAGAGAGAAAGCCACCAGGTGTCCAGGACCTGAACTCTAGTCCAGTCAGCCCTGTGGAAGTCCAGTGTCCTTAACCACCATGCCACCTGCCAGCCCCCTTCTCTTACACTTTTAAAACTAATTGTTACTCTATTGTCTTTGTCTGTGTACTCCTTCATTTACTGGACTGGTTACTCTATTCATCCACAATATATTTTGAGTGCCTCATGTATACAAAAGAGTGCTACTTAAAAAAAATTAAATATCCACAGACTTTACTCTTCTAAGTCATGTTACATAATGCATAATGTATGCTCCACATTACCTGCCTAAACTCTGAAAATTCTGAATCCTGGAACATCTGGTATCCAAACTTACTAGTTGAGCTAAAAGAGTGGAGAGTTAATTTTACTTTTTAAATATTTATTTTTATTTATTTATTTTTGCCATAGCATGTGTGCTCCCTGGAAAAAGAGTAGGAAAGTGAGAAATCAGCATCCTGGGAGGATGGCCAAACTGCAATCCCTTCTCCATTTTCTTCTGGAGATTTTGGGTGCTCACACACGTGCCTAATGTGTTTTTCAAGCTGCCAGGCCTAGACTAGAACCATGCAATCAGTCATATGGGATCCAGCATCTTAACCACCACACCACCTGCTGGCCCAAATTTTAACTCTTAATCTGTTTAACATTTAAAAAAAACTTGCTAGAAGGTCCTGCATTTGCTGGAGAGAGACAGGAGGGAAAAAGGCAAGAAAGCACTCCCCCTAGGCATTGCCACCCCACAATCCCTCTCATCCATCTCTCCCTCCTTTTGCGATTTTGAGTGCTCATACATGTGCACCAAGTGTGTTTCTCAGACCCCTGGATCTGGACTCAAATCAGGCGGTCAGCCATGTGGGAATCCAACTGCTTTAACCACCAGGTCACAGGCTGACTCCATTTAACATTTAAAGGCATTAATTGCAGCTTGTTAACTTCTGTTAACCTCCTGTGCTGTCCAGTTCAGCAGCAGTAGGCACGTGTGGTTACTGAATATGTGCGAAGCCTGAAGAAATATTTATCACATGATGAAAATATTCTGGATATGTTGTTTTAAAGAAAAAATATTGGGGGGGGGGACCAGCAGGTGGTGTGGTGACTAAGATGCTGGGCACTCCCACATGGTCGACCATGGTTCTAGTCCTAGACCTGGTGGTTTGCTTTCTCTCTTCCTCTCTCTCTCCCTGGTCAAATTAAAATGAATTAATGAATAAATAAAGTTGAATAAATACTTATTTAAAAAAATATTGGAGCTGGTAAGTGGCATGGTGGTTAAGGGTGCTGGACTCCCACATGGCCAATTACAGTTCAAGTTCCAGACCCAGTGACTTGCTTTCTCACTTTCGCTCTCTCTCTTTCTTTTACTCTGTCCCTCTCTGGTTAAATTAAAATAAATAAATAAATAAATAAATACAGTTCAATACCATAATTCTTTTTAAAAAAAAAATAACTTGAGGAGGTGGGTTGTTGGTTGGGAACGTTGGACTCCCACATGACCAACCACAGTTCGAGTCCTAGACCTAGCGGCTTGCTTTCTCAGTTTCTTTCTCTCTCTCTCTGTCCTTCTCTGGTCAAATTAAAATAAATAAAAATATTTTAAAAAATAAAGTTCAATAAAATAATTTTTAAAAATCACTTGAGGAGCCGGCAGGTGGCATGGTGATTAAGGGCGCTGGGCTCCCACATGACTGACCACGGTTTGAGTTCCAAACGGGCGGCTTGTTTTCTTACTTTCCCTCTCTGGTCAAATTAAAATGAATGAATGAATGAATGAATGAATGGATAAATAAAGTTAAATAAAGTCTTTCTTGGGACTAGGAGTTGGCTAAGTTGCTGGACTCCCAAGTAGTCGACTGCGGTTCAAGTCCCAGACCCGGTGGCTTAAACTCATGCCAGGCGCGTGTGCATGCGTGCCCAAGATCCCAAGAGGGGAATGGGGGAGAAGGGATTGTGGTGTGGACATCCCTCTTGGGGGGGTGATTTCTCTCTTTCTGTCTGTATGTTTCTCTCTGTCTTTCTGGCAAGCATAAGTGCCCTGTAGCAAAAACCTCTCCAAAAATAAAAAATCATTCTTTAAAAAAAAATCACTTGGCCGGCGGGTGGCATGATGGTTAAGGGCACTGGACTTCTACGTGGACGATCGCGGTTCGATTCCTGGAGCTGGTGGCTTGCTCTCTCACTTCTCTCTCTTTATCCTTCCTTGGTCAAATTAAAATGAATATTTTTTAAACAATTATTTTATTAAACTTTATTATTATTATCATTATTATTTTCCAGTTTGATCAGAGAGAGACAGAGAGAGAGAGGAAGTGAGAAAGCAAACCACCAGGTCCGCGACTTGAACCGTGGTGGAACATGTGGGAGCCCAGCGCCTTTAACCACCATGCCACTTGCCAGCCCCAAAATGAATAATTTAATTAAATAAATAAAGTTCAATAAAATAATTCTTTAAAAAAATCACTTTATTAAAAAATATTAACACACATGCCTTGTGTGGTATTTCTATTGGGCAGGGCAGTTCTGTATCCAAACCTGTACCACCCATCTCTACGTGCCTGGGGTTCCGTGGGAATAATGTACCTATATCCCTGCAGTCCAATGGAGCTAAACTATGTGCGTTGACAAATCCGGGCCGCAGTTTTGGTTTTGTCCTGTTTTCTGTTCCTTTTCAAAGTCTTAAAACAGTTGTTAACCAACTCAGAACTGCGATTCGCGTTTTCATTAAGTGTGTCCAAACCATAGCCCGTCGTCTTGCTTCGGCGCAGATACGCGCCCTTAATAAAGTTTGTCCCACGTCGCTCCCCGTCCTTTCCTAGGCTGTTCGGCATGTGAGAGTCCCGGCTTCTTTAGAGACAGCAGCGATGGCGTTCCGGTGTCAGCGGGACAGTTACGCCCGGGAGGTGCGATCTGTCGCGGGAGGGACTCCAAGCTGCCGGGCCAACGGGGCGGTATGGGGACTAGGGCACTGCGTGGAGGGACTAACGGGATGGGATTCAGCCTCTGTGCGGCAACAGCTGGGGTCGGGGCTTATTTATTCTCCCATTCCTCGGTGTCCAGTTCAGCACCACCGTGGTGTCCTGCAGTCCCGCGGAGTTGCAGACCGAAGGGAGTAATGGCAAGAAGGAAGTGCTGAGCGGTTTCAACGTGGTGCTGGAGGACACGCTGCTTTTCCCGGAGGGCGGTGGACAGGTACCAGGCCAGTCCCTCAGCCCGACCCCCTCCCAAGCCCCTGACGCCTTTGTGCTCGAGTGAAAATGCTCTCCTACGCTTCCCAGCCATAAAGAATCCAGATGGATGTTAGTTCACTTCATTATTTATTCAATAAATGGGGAAGGGATTCAAAAAGTTCGTGGAAAACCTGCGTTATGTAAGTTATGTAAACTCTATGTGTGGAGTTCAAATTTTTTTACATGAAAATAAAGTTGTGCCTCAAGAGTTTTTTCCACGAACTTTTCGAAGTTCTCTCTTATTTATCAACAAAACCTTATTTAGACTTTTGCATGCTCGGTATTCTAGATTTAAAGATAAAGAGTAAGGGGCTGGCAGGTGGCGGTGGTTAAGGGTGCTGGACTCCCACGTGGCTGCCTGTGGTTCGAGTCCTGTACCAGGCAGTTTGCTTTCTCACTTTCCTCTGCTCTTTTTCTCTCTCTCTGTCCCTCTCTGGTCAAGTTAAAATAAGTAAATAAATAAAGTTAAATAAAATCATTCTAAAACATGCATAAATAAATAAAGGGTTAACCAGACAAGTGTTTCCACATACTTAGAATGTTTATTGAGAACAACTCTTATGTCTGATATAATAAGTAATATAAATAAAAAATAATGGTGGGTCAGTCCCATAGTACAGACTGCCACACAGAGGAAGCCAGGTCTCGTGTGGTAGCCCAGGGCACTGGAGCCCTCCCAGTGCTTGAGGGACACTCCCAGTCAGACTTGACTCCTGGATTCTGCAGGGATAGGGAATTAGGAGAAAAAGGATTGTGATGTGATCAGGCTCCACAATGCTGTGCTTTCTCTGCCTCTCTTTTATGTACGTATTATCTCTGATATTAAAAAAAGAATAAGATAAAACTGACCAAAAGTAATAAAACTGACCAAAAGATTGAAATAAAACTGAGGACTGATGGGATACTTTGCTAGAGCACGCTATTTTTTTTTTTTAATGAATCTTTTTTTTAAAGAATTTTTAAATTTAACTTTATTTAATTATTTTAGTTTGCGCAGGGAGGTTCAGAGTGAGAAAGAGGGAAAGTAAGAAAGCAAACTGCCAGGTCTGGGACTTGAACCGTGCTTGGCCATGTAGGAGTCCAGTGCCCTTAATCACCACACCACCTGCCAGCCCTCTTCTTTTTAAAAAGAATTATTTATTTTAATTTTTAAAATTTATTTATTTATTTTTGTATCAGAAAATTCTGGCCTCTCAGAATGAATTAGGAAGTCACTTCTCATATCTTTTTTTAAAAGAATTATTTAATTTTTAACTTTATCTACTTATTTTAACTTGACCAGAGAGGGACAGAGAGAGAGAGAGAGAGAGCGAGAGCCAGAGAGAGAGAAAGCAAACCGCCAGGTCTGGGACTCGAATGATGAGTAGCCATGTGGGAGTTCAGCATCCTTAACCATCATGCTACCTCATGGCCCCCATTCATTTATTTTAGTTTGATGAGAGAGAGAGAAAGTGAAAAAGCAAGCCACCAGGTCTGGGACTCAAACTGTGGTCAGTCATATGGGCTGTCCAGTGCCTTAACCACCACACCACTTGCTAGCCCTGAGTAAGTTATTTCAGTAGATTTACAGGAAGTGAAGAAGTGAGTCTTTGCAATTATCTATTGGTGTTAGGGGCACGTGTGGTGTTTTCCAGGCATCTAAAATAGCAAATGCAGGGACCCTGAGGGAGGAGTTAGCTGGGATGTTTGACAGGGACTGAAAAAGATGTCTCTGGGGAACCAGCAGTTAGCGTAATGGCTATGTTGCTGGACTCTCATGTAGTCGACCACGGTTCGCGTCCCGGACCCAGTGGCTTAAAACTCACGCCAGGCACATGTGTATGCGTGCCCAAGATCCCGACAGGGGAATGGAGGAGAAGGGATTGCGGTGTGACCATTCCCCCTGGGGGGTGATTTCTCGCTTTCTGTCTCTATCTATGTCTCTCTCTGTCTGTCTGGCGAGCGCACGCGCCCTCCAGTGAAAATCTC